ATTTCCACTGTGTAGCTACTGTGATAGATTCCCAGGCAAGGCAAGACTGCTGCTTCTGCAGGTGAAGTTGTAGAGCACTGGGGTCATAGACCGTTTCTCATCCCTCAAGACATTTTAAAGAAGGTTGAAAACACTGACAGCAATTTTTAGCCAATATTAAACTTATGGCAAATGTGGATCAAACCTAACGGATGCTGCAGTAAGACTCTGAGTCACAGGTTCGCATGCAACCTGATGCGTGACCACGGGCAGATCAGTTCTGCATGTACCACGTGTCCCGATGCATCAAAAGCAGCTAATAATACTTCCTTCTATAGTRTTTTGAGATCTGCTCAGACAAATGGCTACAGAAGGCTCTTAAGAGATATATATACATATATATATATATCATTCTTAAGATTTATTGATTATTTAGAAAAATCTGAAAACCATATTGAAGCAAACGATGGCCCACTGTTTTTTGGCAAGTCTTTTCAGGAACTTTGGCGTGCTTAGTTGCTAGTAGTACAAATGCTGGGTAAGAGCTGTTGTTATTTCATGAATGATGAAATAGCCATGCCATTTTCAGTTCTCCCCAAGTCTGTGAAAGAGGCAGCAATGGCCTGAGAGCAAGGCCACATCCAAAAACTCAGTGCTGTCATCCAGACCTGAACTGAACCAGCCACCTCTGTACAGAAGACAGTCCCTCTTCTAATGTGTCTGTGTGCAGATCTGAGGGGAATTTGAGTTACTGTCCAAAAAGCAGGACATTCATTTGTAAATGATGAGTAAATCTAATGACTTCAGTGGACTTCTACCAAGAAGACAGTGGGCTTGTTGAAAGCTTCCTTGTTTGGAGCTGCATTCATGAGAAAGAACTGCCTTTCAGTCTGCTTAATGCATTTGGTTGAACTAACCTATTCTSGCTCTTGCTCTGTAGCTCAGTGAACTGTAGCTCAGGACACTCGTGCCAGTTCTCAAACTTCTTAGGTTTGACAGTTTGCCACTAAAACAATTGAAGCAGGAGGATTCCCAAAGGGAATTAACAACTGTTTGCAGCAATTAGAGTGTGTCAGCTTGAAGAAAAAAAAAAAAGAAAGAAAAAAAAAAAGAAAAAAGGAAGAAAGCTGGCATCATTAGAGAAAGATGCTCTGATGGCCGGTGTCATGGAAAACAAAGAGACTTGTTTCCAAGAGGAGCGGAGGAAGGAGATGTTAGGAGATGTTTACTGAATGGTGAAATAAGCTTAAACTTCACAGAAAATCAGATTGAAGGGAGAGCATGAGGCAGAGCACTGCAATCCTCAGTGCCATCAATGTAGGGAATAATGAAGGAAGAGAGCCAAGAAACTCCAGGGGAAGCAAAGTGGGAGGCTGGGGCCAGCCGGGCCCTGCAGCTTGGTGCTGGATGGAAAAGCAGCAGGGGAGCCTGGCTGCCTGTCGAGAGAGTTATTGCCCCTGCAGGTATCTAAGCCGGGATGCGGGCTATCTGCCAAAACAGTCTGTGCCCCCCTATCAGTTGTGGAAATAAGGTCACACTTGGCCGCAGGCAGGAGAACTCGGTTTGAAATTGCTCCCCTACCCCCAGTTTTCACTCCTGCTGGTGTGTGGATGTCTGTGCCCTCCCCGAAAGGGGGAAGTCCAGCTGTTTGCTGGACGGCAGCACCAGCTGTGCTGTGCTTTGGCTTTGGTTTTGTCCACCTCTATTAGATCAGAAATAGAAATTCGTCGGTACAGACCTGGCACGCTGGGAGGTTGCAAGATGTGTCCAACAGAATAAGGAAGGCACCATGGGACCTCCGGGCCTTCCCCAGGGAGCCCAGAAGACTTTGGTAAAGGAGCCAGGAGCATTTTCAGCAGAGTGAAGGCAAGATTGGCTCCTGGGCAAGGATGCCTTGTAGTGTTGCACACACAGAATGGCTGATGATGATTTTGCCCATGAAATCCTGAGCCACATGTATTAGAGCTATTGTGGTCAGTAAATCCATAGGAAGRCTATACTGAACAAAGGCATCTATGATTAATGTTTGTTTGTCTCCTGGAATCATTCACTGAACTTCAGTGGAATTACAGTGCTTGCAAATTTACTCCTGAAAGGCAGGACAAGTGACTGAGGTGAACATAGTTTTTGCTGTTTACTTATATATACATATTCACTGCAGGGCTTTTTTTTTTTTTTTTTTGTGTGTGTGTGTGTCTGTAGATTCTCTGACACTCAATATAACACAAGTGGAAACCCAATACACCTAATTCTCTGCTGTTTAAAACAGACAGAAACTCCTGTGTAATTAAGGGAGCTGAATCCATTTGGGTCAGGGTTGGTCTGCTGTTTCAAAGATCAATTGCTGTAAAGAGCTCTGTGTGATTGATTAGTTAAGTGTGGATTCTGTTTCTTGGGTGATAGCTGCAGATTTTTCAGAGAAAACCTCGTTGGCGCCAGCGAGAAGGTGATCGCTTGCATGTCTCTGCAATAGAAAGTTACATTCGGCGCATGTTTGGTATCATTTTATGGTAGCTAATGATGATGATGAAATGATTCCATTTGTTGAAGTATCGCCCTGTAAAACATAGGGCTGGAAATCAAGCAAGGAGCCCTAGCAAACCAGGCTCTCTGCATCTGCTACTCTGAAGAGTGCTGGCTTTACTGTCACCTCAGTGCACCAATAGACCTGTCCTGAGCCCAGCATGTTTATGGAAGCAGGGGAAGCATTTCTGTTTCTTTCRCTGTTTTTCTGTGCTAGTCCTAGCTAGTACCAAGCAGAATAGAGATTTATGGTTAGCTTGCTTTTTAGAGAAAAGTATTACCAAATGTCTTTGAACATAAAAAGGAAGGTTTRTTTGGTTGAAATACTTCAACTATACTCAAGTCTGCTTTTGATTTTATCCAAGCTGGTTCTTCTATCTTTATTTGTCACTAAAACCTGCCTCAGTTTTATATATAGGAAATCAAGATTAATTCAACTCCCATTTGAACAGTGGAGAAGTTGCAGAGTTGTTGAGTCACTGGGCACAAGCAACTGCAAAGGAGTRTGCTGGTGGTGCTTGGCCAAGGTGGACCTAAAGCAAACCCTGGTTCTGAACCCCCTCCAGTTTCTGTGTCACCCATGCACAGAGTCAAACTTAGGAAATGTCTGTATTGGAGCAAAGGGACCCCAAGCTGGGTTTGGATCCCAGAACTAGACTTCTAGAAGTGAAGAATTTTAGCATTTGTAGGCTGCTTTTCTCCATCTCCTTCTAACCGTAGCACAGCAGATATGGATGGGTCTGTCTTTGCAGGTGGCAGCTGAAACGTAGCCCTGCTCTGTCTCCCTGTCGTGTCACTGAGGGGTGCAGAACAGCACACACTACCCCCCGCTTTTGCCCCCCCCTTTTTTTTAACACAACAGAAGAGCTTTTTTCCAGATTTAGTGTGGTRTCTAATGATGTGTCAAAAAGAAGAATGTCTAGGGAATGAATTGCACTGTTAATTGGTGTTTATAGATAAGGTGAAGCAGAAGTATTGAATGTAAGAACAAGAAAGCCTGTGAGTTCTAAGTACATGCCGATTCTGACATGTGAAGTTATTGTTTGCTTCTTATTTAAATGATGTGTGATCTAAGTGGCTTTACCACTAGCATTGCTATAGTTGTCAATTTAGAAGATGTGCAGGGTCTTTCAGAAAGAGGAACCCTGTCTAGCCACATCTCCTCTTTTTCTCTGAAATCGTGACACATTTCCCTCCTTGATCTCCTGAATCTTAGGACACTGTCGAGTCTCCAAGCACAGGAAAGGAGTACCGGCTTGCTGACTGCTGTCACTAGCCTCTGCCTGTTTCCTTGGTCACAGATATAATCACAGGTAGGAGGCTCTAGCCAAGCTGAGCCCACGCTGAGCACCACTTTTCCCAAAGGACATGAGCTGCTTTCACTCAGCACCTGGAGCTGGCGGCTCTCGGCCGTCTGCAAGTCCATGGAGAAGCCAGTTGTACTAAAGGAGGGAGATGCGCAGCTGAACTGGAGCTTGATCGTGGGTTACTGTCTTAGATCATTTTTTTGTGTGTGTGATTTTTGTCATTAATAGCAAAGCTGCAATATAATATAACTGGGAGGCCGCAATGTATTTTCATATAGTCGTTCTGTGGGGGGGTTGGCGGGGGAGCCAGGTTTAAAGTTTAGCTGGTATACTTTAAACTCGGTGTACATAACCTTGGAGGACACGTGGGTGGTGTGGGCTGAGCTGTTATTTTTTTGGACTGGTGAATTTCATTTTGATTTTGTTTAATAAGTATTTAATGACATGTTGTACAAAGAGTTATTAATTTAAATGATGCTTTTGTTCTCATAAACCAGAACTGTCTAACCTTTCTCTTTGGCAAGCCTGCAGCAATGCTCCATGTAGCATGATGTTGACTTCTGTACCTTGGGGAGTGAAGGGAAGGGGAGGGGGAATTCTTTCTCTTCAGACAAATAATGTTGCCCAGAGCTAACTTTCTGCTTGGGGATATCCCTTGAAGTCCCTTTAAACTGAGTTTTAATGCGGAATTCTCTTAAAGGGGTAGAACAAGCAGAAGTTATGCCAAAAGATCTAGACTGTATCATCTTGTAATATATTGCAGCTTTATGCCAATGATTCCTCGCTTACGTGTACACAGTCCATGCATGTTTTGAACTAATTTCGCATTCTGCATTTGTGGTGAGTTATTTAGCATTTTAACCACCTTTCGTGCCATTCAACTTGTACAGAAAACATTTTTATTGACGTTTTAAAGACAAGGGGAGGAAAAGGAAAAAAAAAAACAAAAAACAAAAAACCCCTTCTGCTCCCTAGTTGTAGGTAGAACTCAATTACTTAGCAAACAGATGTAGGTGAGTGGTTGTAGTTTTAGAAATGTTAGCTTGCTCGTGAACAAGCTTTTGAGAGTAAATGCATGGTCCTGTACCTCTTTTCTTAATTAGCTCTTCCTTTCCTTCTGGAAAGACTCTCCCTCTCTCTCTATTGCTCTGTCTTTGTCTCTCTCGTGGTTGTAAAGTACAGATTTGGGCGTAAATAAAATGGCATACAATGAATGAGATTTGAAAAGTAGTTCTCAACAGGTTCTCTTGGGGAACTTCTCACAGCGCCTTGCCTCACCTCGGCACTTTGTTTGGACTCTAACTGTCAAGGCAAMACAAACAGAGATCAGTCATCTGCTGTCTCTGCTTGAGCTGGAGAACAGTGTAAATTTTTGGAAGTTTGTGTCATTGGTAAAATGTGGGATCATGCAGCTGAGGCAGGTGGGGTACCGGCCGTGGCGTCCCACACATGGTTGTTGAACATGGGACCGGTCGCAAGGCCCTTGATTTGCGGAGTTTGCACACGCTTTTTCATTTTCCTGGATATGCAGTAGAAGGGAATGGGGGATGATATACAGGAACAGTGTTGTTAGGGGTTCGGAAAACAAACCACTTCTCCACAGTTCTGAGCTCTGCTTTCAGCATGCAGGGCTTGCTTGATAGCTGTGGTTCTGCTGGCAACAGGGGACACAACAGCCAAAGGCTTGGAAAATAGTCACTTGCAAAGATGGATTTTGTAGGAAATGGACTTAAAAAATATCCCCAAACCCATGAAGCCTACCTACTTCCTCATTACTATCCCCCATGCCTCTTCTCCCTTAGTAGGATTTCCTTTTGTTAGAAGATTTGACTTTCTAGAACAAATTTCTGTTTTTGTGAGGTGTTGTGAACTGTTTTTACTACTTGTAACAACCATCCCAGGTCTGATTATTCTTGTAATGCAATGCCATGCAGCAGAGATCCTGTCCACTTTATAGCTTTGCTCTCAATATTTGTTACTCATTGTTTTCTCATCTAAATGTACATTTGCAAGATGTGTGTAATGTCATTTTCAAAAAATAAAATTTGGTTTCAATATTTAGGCCGATAAAACTTCTTGGATGCCTTTATTTGGCCTGACAAATGACTGTTGACTTACAAACTATCTTAGGATATCTAACTATATATATTATATCTTATGCACTAAAGTGGTAATGGTTCATTTTGATTCCTTAACTTCCTTAAATCAGACCCAGTTGTACAAATGGAGAAAAAAGACTGGGGAGGAAATGAGACTGCCCCGAATTAACTAAGATSTGTGTGTCGGACTAAACAACGTAACCAGCGAAGGACTCGGCCTCGTGATGGCAGGACTAGCCCAGTGTGTGCTACAGCTGACCCAGGTAAGGCCAGCTGTTTTCTTATGTGCCGCTCTTCAGCCAGAGCTGCAGACCCAGAACAGCAGGATTTGGCCCCTAAGCTGAGCTCTGTGTTTGCATCTGGGTCTGGGCAAGACCTGTTTCCTCTCACTTCAGCTTGGAAGGTTTGGTGAGATTTGAGAGAGGATATGTCTTTGTCCTGGCTTTCCCCATAGGCCTGAGCAAGGCCCAAGTTCTTCTTTGACAGTGAYCCTGTCAGAACCACTCGGAAACCTTGTATGCCCTGAAAAATATGCATAAGGCTTAAACCTCCTCATTTAATTATACAGTACAAGCCACTTCCCTGCTTGCTTCTGCTTTGCATCTGCAAAATTAAAAGTGAATGTGGTGAGTCAGCTCTGACCCTCCTGGCTGGGGACAGAGCTGTCATGAAAAGGCYCAGCTCCTTCCCACTGCTGTGTACTCGGAGGGAGCCCTTCATCCTTTTTTTCCTGCTTTCACCATACTTCAGGGCACAGAGGGCTCGCTCCRGGCCCCCCCACATCCAGAGAGGGCCCCACACCGACGGGGAGCAGCAGGGGCTGCCAGCACAGGGGGTGCCCCACTTGGCCAGTGGCAGCCACTTGCCATTATTGTGCTGGCTTGGACGGAGCAGAGCAGGGCACACAGTACAGTACTGTTTTTGCTGAAAGACCACACTAAATAAACTGCAGTTCCCAGAATAAAAGCAGTGGGATTAAAAATGCCATCTGAGCAGCCTTTATTTGAATGTGCATGAACTGGAACCAAAGCAAATGTTAACAGAAAAGCAGAACAAATACGTTAGAAAATAATATTTGGCACGTGTCCTTGTGCACCCCCAAAGCCAACAAAGCTTCCTGATGGGTTTTCTAGGGGTTAAGCATTAGGTGAGGTCAATAGACAAAAGAATTTGTGCTCCTGCACAATTTTTTTCAGAAAATGTTCTGAAAATGGCAACTTTCAAACCATTATCCCACTGTATGCATTTAACACAGCTATCCAAGGGGTTTTAGTGTCAAGAGGAAAGTTAGGCTGAGATGGTATCCTACTTAACTATCACAAATCAGCACTTGAAACCACTGGAACTGATGCTGCTCTGCTACTAGACGCCCCACTGACACATACGAAATTACTCCAAATTTACTTCCCTGTGAGAGCAAAACGAAGTTTCCAAAGCCCAGAATTCCTATTACGTCAGCCCAGCTCCATACAGAAATACAGGTTAGGACTCAGCAGAACAGAGCGTGTGCATCTGTAAAAACTCCAGGCTTAAGTGCATTGGCTCCATTCTGTGTCAGTCGTTTGGACTGAACTAAATGTTGGGCCTGGTTGGAAACCTTTGCCTGGTCTCTTGACCTCATCTCCATTACTGGGTGCTTAAGCAGTGCTTGCTGTACAAGTCTGCCTCCAATCAAACCTAGCGTATTTTCTGCCTGTCGGGCCTGTCAGCTGCAAATGATCCAGAGTTTCTGTGGCTGCTGGCTTTCATTTCTAGCCCAAAATATGGCAGCCAGATCCGTGGTGTAATGGGACATTTGCAGCACTGTGTCAGCATGTGCTGCCTGCAAAATGTGGAATGTGGCCGTAGCATCAGCTCTGTGGCCCAAGGTTTTTATAGTGATGTTTTCCAAGTGCGCCCATGCTGGATGGGAAGGTTTGCGTTTCTGGGCACACATCACCTGCACCATAATGCAGGTCCCGCACATCTGTAAGCAGATATGAACTCTAGCGGGGAGAAAAAGTCCATTGGGAAAAAATCATAAAACATGTTTTTAAAGGCACTAAACCAGTATGGTTTAATTTTATTAAAAAGCCAGAGTATGCTGGCATGCACCCGCGGTGCAGTTATGCGCTTGCAGCTGGGCATCACTGGGATGATCAGAGACTGCAAAGCCCTCAGGAAAGCACCTCTTGCTGTGTGAAACATGGTGCTGACCCACCAGKGACATCCCTTCCTGCTGTCCTCTCTCAGCCCTGCTCCTGCATAAACTCTCATTTCCAGGCCACCAGCTGCAGCTGGGTTTTGCTGGAGCAATGCACCATAGCAAAGAAGCAGCAAAGAAACTTCTTCCAAGGATGTTCTCCAAACTTGCTTAGGAGGGATCCAGCTGGGCTAGAAGGATGATGCAAAGCTGCAGCAAACACAAGAACCAATAAAGGATGCTAAGTAAGTCAAAAACACTGCTTGCCTTGTGCTGGAAACTCATTTATTTTAAGCACAGGTATTCCCACAGTTGGTACAACCATCAAGTGCCAGCATTTGAACAGCTAYTTGAAAAAGATGTGAGTTGCTTTCTTCTGTCAACTGTGCTTTAGCCATGGTGTGTGTCATCTTCTAATTTAAGTGTTCAGAGTGGGCTTTTATCACCCGTGTACAGTCACGGGAAGTGTCATTAGGCTCGTTAAACTTCTGTTCTTCTGGCACCTTGAGAGGGTGACAGCCAGAGCTGAGATGTAAGGTATTGCAGAAGGTCCCTGGCAGTATGTCATTTCGATAATACAAGCTGTCATTTGCACAGCACTGAGGTTTCACAGGACTTTTATTGCTTTTAGAGGAATATAGAAACAGGGTCACTTGCAGAAGGTTCTAAAATCCTTCTGCGATCTGGAAATGATGTTCAACCCTTTGTTTATATCTTGGCTTTCTCAAGCATAGATCAACAAACTGAGTTTGATCGC